CAGCGACTGCGCCCTGCGGGCTGACACCGGGGACCCCTTTCCTGGCTGGCCGCTCGCCACACGACCCGGGTGGGGGCGGCACCCAGCCTCGCCTGGTCTCCTGTTAACAACGCCAGAGACAAAGGAGAGGGAGAGAGCGCGATGAGAGAGGCGCAAGACATCCCTTCCAGCGCAGTTGAAAAATAATAGCTTAATATTAACTGCTTCTCATAAAAATACACTTTCGCAGAGACACAGTTACAAGAAGCAAACCCTCATTTTATCCTGGTACTCTGTGCTCGTCGCTGTTAGCTGCCTCAGTAATTTAATTGGAATAGAACGTGAGAAATGTGTCATTTTTGAAGAATTTATGCTTCACTTCCTAGAAATCTCATTGTGTTAACTAGGAGCCCACTGCGTTCTGTTTAGAACCCATAATCACATTTTTATGTGTCTGTGTTATGCGTTAATGCGACCTCCTGTCTTTGGAAGACTAAAAAAAAAAAAAAAATGTTCTCTTTCCACGACGTCTGCACGGAGCTCGGGCCCACGTCGCACTCCCGGAAGCCCGGGCTCGCCCAGGGTTCTGCAAATTTACCAACTTTTTCGGAGCAGCAAAAGCAAACGTGAAGGAGAAAAGCGCCTACCAAATGAATAATTACACACCAAATTAAAACCCCGCATTAAACATAGTCGACAGCGAAGACTGCGTCCTAAATCATGTTTATTGCTTACAAATTGCATTACAAAGAAATCTACTCTTTTTATTGGAGTGATTAAGCCCGCAGTGTTAGGACTGCAGAAATGGCAGAGTAGATGAAGGCTCCAAGTCGCCTGAGCTGCATGGCAATGGCAAACGTGTAATTTTGTCAAAGAACAGCTTAACGCGGAGAAGATTGGGTTGTCATTATGGCACCATAAAAGAGTCAAAGGAAGATGATATTTATTTATAAACACGGTGTCTATAAAATGCACATATTTAATACGAAAGGAAGCAAGCGATTCCATAACCGATATTTTAATTACTGAATTTTTAGAAATTATGGCAGCACAGTTCTACAGGATCCTTTGCAAACACACGGCTTTTCTGTGCTCTCCTCCCCGCATCCCGGGAGCTGGGAAAACCTTCCTGATTTCTTCCTCTTTTCCTTGTGGACAGAGGCGGCTGTGGGGCGAGGGAGACAGTGTTTGCCTATGGCGCCACCTGCAGGGCTCGAGGGGAAGGGATTTCCAGGCCTCGGCCGTTTCCGCTGGCCTCTGTGTTCCCAGGGCAGCCTTCTTTTTAGCAACGCAATGAAATTCATTTCTGTTTTAGGACGCTGTTGGGCCGGGGATGTAGCTCAGTAGTTCCACGGCCTGCCTCGCAAGTGCAAGGACCCGAGTTCGATCCCCGATACAAAAAAAACAAAACAGAAAAATCCAAAACAAGTCCTGGAGTTGGAAAAGTAAGTAGTTCGATGCTGCCAAACTGTGCTGCATTCCCAGCAATCAGGTGTATAGTTAATCACAGCTGAAATCCTGGAGCTTCTTAAAACTCTGGCTGCATGGAAAAGAATAATTTGTCCTTGAAATTACAGAATAAAAGCCTGGCTTATCACTTCGCCCTGGGGCAGCCCTGAAGAGACGGAAAAGCACTTACAGTGGGAATGGTGGTGATTAAACGTGTTCTTAGACACTCCTGGCCCGTCTCACTGCCCCAGGGTGAAGTGTTCTCCTCCGGCCCACCCGCTGAAGGGTTACTTCAGAGACTGAAACCGCAATGATTACACATCGCCCTGACGTGAGTAAATCCTTCTTGGACCCAATGAGTCAGTGCCTCTGATTTGCTTCCACATGTGCTGAATAGTTGATTATCAAGCATCCTGGAAATTAAACTGACACAAATACACTGAAAAGGCAGGCCCAGGCTGTACTGGAATTTTAAACCACAGCATCCAGCTTGTGCACTAACTGTGTGCTGTGGACTGTGCCTAGGCTGTTTCATCCTGTCCACACCAGCATAACCCCCTTCCCCAGGGCCGTCGCTGGTGGGAAGTCTTGCTTATATAATTTTGCATTCTCTGCTGTCAGTTAATGATAATCATCAGAGATACTTGATGTGCTGGGTGTGGTGGTGCACGCCTGTGATCCCAGCACTCAGGAGGCTGAGGCAGGAGAATTGCTGTGAGTTTGAGGCCAGCAGTAAGTTCAAGGCCATCCTGAACTGCATGGTGAGATCCTGTATCAAAAAACATAAAACAAGAAGCAAACAAACAAAAGATCAAAGATACTTGATACAAGTTAGAGGAAAAATATTCTTTTGCTATCTTTTTCCCCCTTTTAATAGAAACATCAGGTAAAAGTACCATGTGCTTTTGTTTTGTTTTGTTTTTTAGACAGGGTCTAACTGTGTAGTTCAGGCTGACCTTGAACTTGCAGTGATCCTCCTGCCTCAGCCTCTAAAGGCTGGGACTACAGGCGTGTGTCACCATGCACGGCTCCATGTACTCTTACTAGCTTAAGAATTTTGAGCCAGGTGAATACACCATTAAAAACTAAATATGAACCGGGCATGATGTTGCATGCCTGTAATCCCAGCACCTGGGAAGCTGAGGCAGGAAGATTGCTGTGAGTTCGAGACCAAACTGGGCTACATAGTGAGTTCCAGATCAGTCTCAACTACATAGTCAGACCCTGTCTCAAAACAAACAAACAAACAAACTAAATGTGAAATTAAGGAAAACAATTTAAATCTCACAGAGTCAGGTTTATGTTATATACTCAGCAAGAAAAGTAATGATGTGCAGTAAGGACTTTATATGAAATGAAAAAAAAAACTATTTAATTGAAAAGCACCAGGGTATGTTTCGTTCACTGGAAAGTCAGTTGTCTCCAATTCTAGTCTCAAATAGAATGGCTTTTGGAATTTATCTCAACAGATTGCTTCTTGCCCTCCCTCCTCTCTTCTTTCCCTCCCTGCTTTCTCTTCTTCCTTTTCTTCTCCTTCCATCCCCTCCCCATTTTTCTTCCCTATCTATGTGGATTTAAGTAATTCCCTTCATTTCAGAACTTCTCAACACACAGAGCAGACAGCATAGCTGGACCTGGTCATCAAAACAGTTTTTTTGGTCCGTTATT